CCCCAAAACCCCAAAACCCCAAAACCCCAAAACCCCAAAACCCCATTGCTAACTAAAATTGCTGAAGTTAATTTTATTTGATCTTGAACTTTAAATATGAATTTTACCGAATAGGTTATAATTACCAGAATCTATTCCTGAGAGGATCCGGTTTGAGGATGCTGGGAGTTTGTTTCCGGATTTCCCTAACTTTCACAGCGATCGCTTTGGATTGTCTTTTCCTCAATCTCATGTGGAAGGAAGGATCCTTCTTGACGGAAGGAAGTTTTACAGTTACCTTCATTCTCTTTCTTGGTTTATCAAACCTTGGATTAAATTCAAAATCAGTTGTAATATTTCTTCTTTTATAGAAATTTTTGATAGTGTTATTTTCTTCACATATTTTTATTCTTGCTCCGAAAAGCCTCTTATCTTCCCGAATGCTGAACCGAGTCAAGTATCGCCTGTGGTCAGTATCAAGGGAAAGTGGGGTTCGCTTTCCTAAGGTAGGCTCTGTATGATTGATTGTCGTGGACATCATGCTCTGTGTTTCATCATCAACAGAATCCACACTTGCCTTCCTTTTTCTCGGTGAATATAGCTTCTATATTAATAATCGTTAATTCCATTGACATTGTCACTATTTGTCCGATTATCCTAATCTCGAATCTGATTGGCTAATCCCGGATTTAACTTGCGTAAAATCGATATCACATGTATAGATTTTTAAAAGCTGTAAGTGAAAATGCAACTAATTTCAAAAGAAGTTTCCTTTCAAGCAGGTGTAAATAATGCAGATCGCAATGTTTAAAACCTACTCTTGGAAGAACCCAAGCAACGTTGACTTACAAGTGGGCTATCCAAAGATCTTTGGAGTGTTCATGAAGGATTAGAAGTCGTAGGTGCAGATAAAAGTAATATCTTTGGCTTAGAATCCAAATTCGGTTCTTCACCGGAAACATCTACTGCTTTCCCCAGAACTTCAGAAGTGCAGACAGGGATGGATAGGGGCTGTACGGGCTCTTTGATACTAGCAGAGGCTGGTTTAGATGGAGAATTGGGGTTTAGTGGCTTTTGCAGATCTTGAAAATCAGGTTTAGAAGTCGTCTCAGTGAGTGAAGTCTGAGGAACAGACAAGGTAATTCTGGTGTTTTCAGTTGGCTGATTTGGTGAGGGAGCAGTAAGGCTTTTGGGAAGAAACATGGCTTGGCTTTGGTCGTGGGTCTGAGATACTTGTTCTGGTGGTGGGGACCTGAAGAGTGGAGTGCTGGTGCAGGGAGATGCACACTTTGTTTGCAGAGTAGAGGTATTTGGCTTCATTTATAATTAATAGTTTATCAATTAAATTAAATAAGTCGGGGTTTTGGGGTTTTGGGGTTTTGGGGTTTTGGGG